TGTGCCCCAGCAAACTTCCAGCTGCCAGCTGATTGGCTCCTCTGTGGGTGATGCTCATTGGGCTGTTTCCCTGCCCTTTCAGACCATTGGGGAACTCTTTTGGCTCCGCCTATGTGACTCAGCCAATCGGCCTCAAGAGCGGGAGGAGTGGGGGTTGAGAGGCTCCCCAGAAGCTGGTGGTGGCAGTTGGGCTCTGAGGGAATTCCTGAAGAGCTCCTGTGGTGCTGTGTGGCTCGTGAATTGTGCCCAGCCAGACTGCAGCAGTCCCCACTCGGTGGCTGAGAAAAATCAGGGCTCTAAGAGGTAAGTAATTTTCAGTTCCACACAGTGACTTAGCTATTTTACAAGACAGAGCATGTGGTCCAGGAGCCATTGTGCCTGGCTGGCTCCAGTCCCACAGGTTTCTTCCATCCACTTCATACGAGGAGCCCCAGATTCAGAGGAGGCTTTGTGGCCAGCTCCTTGGAGAATAGGAGTGAGCAGAGAGTATCTGGGCCATAGAGAGCTCTAAGTCAAGAATCCAGGGTTACGAGGTACAAGTGAAATCGGGACTCTGAGCAATCAAAGGGCTAATGACACCTCCCTCAGGTCCCTGCCGAGGCCATTACTGTGTTCCTGTGGTATTACTAGAGCTAAGAGGTAAGTTCTTTAATGAAGGCTACCAAGTACTGACAATTCCTTCCATCTAGGGAAGAGCTCTCAGCCTCCTCCCACCTTCACTGGGCTGAACCACATGACTTACTTGAGTTAATGCAACATCCACAAACAGGTCACAAACTGGACAGCAGTAAATCTTGGGATGCTGTCCTGAGGTTGCCATGCAAGGGCTGGTTTAGCTTTGCAGATAAGAGACTGCATGGGGGAGCCTGGCAGTGCCACAGCCTACAGAGAGCTCCAACCGCCATGTGAGGCTGCCTCATGCTTCCCAAAGCCACATGCAGCTGAGTGAATGAGTCCAGGAGAAACTAGCATGGAACAACCCCGCCAACCCATGGAATCAGGAGAGAGCATAAGTCCTTGGTGTTTCAACGCACCATGTTTAGAGTGGTTTGTTATGCAGCAATAGCTAGCTGGTATACATGCAGCAAGAGAGCTTTGACCCACAAAGACCTTCCAAGGAGAAAAGAGAAGCCTCTGAAGTTTTTGGTCCACTGAGGACCAAAGATGTTTCCTAGGTATTGCCCTCCATAATTGCAAGGGGTCAGGAAAGTCAGAAGTTCACATCACAGAGCAGAATCCAGATAGTGTCTCTCCTCCATCCTTCTACTCACAAACTATGCCTCCCAGCATCAGGGAAATGAGACACATGAGCATCACTGAACCAAATGTGTAGCAGCTACCAAAGACGAGAGGAATCCTGATGTTACCGCAGGTGAGCTCTGGGGTCATGCACATCTGCAGGGATCCAGTGTGACAGACTGCAGCCATCTTGGTCATGACCTGGCTGCATCCCAAACCCCAGGATGAAGTCCTAAGGCAGTCAGTCAGGCACGGTGTGCTGGCCATTGACACCTGGACTGTTTCTTAAGGATGTTGGGCAGACTGATGGTTCTGAGAAAGGCCAGGTACCTGTCTGCTGGCTGAGGCCCGTTTTGTCTGGCTTAGCATATAAACCCCTCCTCCTGCCGTGGAGCGTGGGGTCCATCTGCATTGCTGCTGTCCAAGACATGTTTCTGTCCACTGTGTGATCCTGGGTCTACTTGCCTCCCGCAACTCCTTCCATCTCTCTATGCCTTCTGCCATTAGCAGCTTGTTCCCTTATACCCTGATGGGATTCTCTAATCCCCCCACCCTGCCTGAATGTGTGTTTGTTTGTTTGTGTGTGTGTGTGTGTGTGTGTGTGTAGGGGAGATGGGGGAGGAATCTTCTAACAGATCCACAGGAACTTAAGCTTTCAACATCAGTCATGCTATTTGTGTGTGCTTTGTTTTTATTAATTAATTAACACTTTCAGTGCTCACTTATTGAGGAGCAACCATGTGCCACAAACCCTAGAAATCTATCAGAGGAAAAGGATTCCTAATTTGTCCCAAAGGTGAACCAGGAGCAAAGCCAAGATTCTTCTCAGAGAGGAACTTAGAATGATCTAAATTAGGGCCCTAAAACACTAACTCATGAAATACAAACTAAGACATTTCAACTGAAAGATGCTCACAAATTAAACTTATTTTCTTTTTCCTATATTAATGTAATAGGTGTTGCTTATTGTGAAAGTACAAAAGAGTAAAAAAGACAAATAGCACTTGCAGTTTCTCTGTCACTATTAATATTTTGGTGTTCTTCTTGGTTTCATTCTTGTTCCAAAAGGAGTCATTTGAAATGGGCTTTGAAGGATGAATAGGAGTTTACCGGGTAATCAAAGATGCAAAGACCTTTCAGATAGAGGAAATGGCATGTGCATAGACCCAGAGATGTCAAACAACATGAGCACAATTCATAAAAGCTGATGAGGAGGGACAGGAGGTGAGGTACAGAAAAGGACACTGACCTGGATAGGCTGGTAGAGATGTGGTCAGGGGAGCCCTCTAATGGCAGGTTAAGGAGCTATGCATTTCTTTGACAGGCAGTGAACAGAGACCAAGGGCTTTAGCAGGGAGTAGGAGTGCTCGGGCAGCATGGGAGGTGGGCCAGAAAGGGGAGTGTAGGGGCAGGAGCCAGCCTACCCTCAGCCTCAGGGACCAAGAAAGAGATGCCTGGGATTCTCAGTCCTTAGTGGAGAGCTGCTTCTTGTGCTGACAAGAGTGCAAAGAGATGGGCCTGTTGCTAGGGTGCACACAGGTGCCCTGCAGGATACAGACCCGTCACCAGGTATGAAGGTATGTGTTGGGGGCAAACCCCAGGTCTCATTCCAGTGCATGGAAATGACAACAGAGCAGAGTCGACCTTACAGGGGGGTTGATGCAACTAAGTGAGAATGAATGTGAGGCTCTTGCACACCCTGCACATCCAGAGAAGTGCCAAATACAGTCAGCTGTGTCCCCATCAGCATCATCATCAAAATTGAAATGCTCACATCCAATGACCCAGCAAATCCCTCTTCTGGGAGCCTGCTGCAAAAACACCACCCAGGATATAAAGCTGCACACAGATGTTTAGTACAGCCACAGGAACATGGAAATAACCTAAATGCCTATCCTGTAAACACAAATGTTTGCATATGTACACGCAGGGCATCGATGGGAGCAAGTTGGACACTACAGTGACCTCTGTGAAATGGGGCGTTAGGGGCTGGGGCTGAGCAAGGGGAAGCTTCATTTCATCCATTTTTGTGTTTTACTAACTTTTTCCTCCCCTCCTTTTGGAACTGGGAACAGGACCCAGAGCCCCACATGCTAGACAGTGTGCACAACGCAGCTGCACCCCCAGGAGTCTTCTAGGCCAGAGAGGCTGAAGCATGAGGCAGAGACAGGACAAGTCCAGGTGGAGCAGGGAGCAGGTGTGAGCCCCCAACAGAGAGCGCTGAAGCCTCCGGACGTTCATTCTTCAAGTTGCAAACTCTGTTCACCCGGATTCTTTTCAGAGCCACCTTCAGCAGCGGCAGGCGAGTTGCATCTTGGGAACATCTGTTGCTGGCCTTCACTGAGCAGTGCAGGTTCCCCCTCCAAGGCTGCCCCACCTGGAGTCTCAGTTGTGTGAACTTGGGGCAGATGTGGGCTCTGCCCATCCCTGCTGTGAGAGCTGGGCTGAGAGAGGTTCTGGGACTGTCGCAGCCAGCTGGTCCTTTGGCTGGAAGCAGTAGAGAGCCTCATGCCCCAGCTCATTCTGCCCTTGGCTGATCGGTAGCAATTTCATCTGTGAATCGGGGATGACCAGAGCAGCTGCTTCATGGGATTGTTGTGAGATTAAATGCAGTGCTGTCCAGGGCAAGATAGTGCTCCTTGGATGCCAGCCACCACGCTCTGTAAACTGGGGCCCACTGGAGGCGGAGTGGATTTAAGTGAGATAATGTAGTCCATATGCCTAGCTCTAGGCTAGACACTCTCACTATTGCATTGTGTTTTAAAACACCACCTGGCACTCTCAAAGTCACCAAAACACTCCAAACCATGTTTCTATCACTGGAACAGAAGTTCTCAATCCTGGTTGCAGCTCAGAACAGGCCTGGGGAGCTTAAAATACTGATCCCCAGTATTGAGACATAGTTGGTTGGGGACAAGAGAACTTGCTCCTCACCCAGGCAGGGATGTCCTCTTCATGCTCAGCAACACTTAATGATGACTTTGCTTCCCACCACTGCCCCTCGGGGCGCCCCCTCCCTCCAGAACAGCCTCTTTCCTAGTCTCCACTCACTGCTGTGGGGGACCCTCAGCCACCGCTGTCTCTGCTTCTCTGCTCCTTGGTTGGGACCATTCCTGGGTTGCCCACATTGCCTGGGCCAGGGTAAGCCCTTCTCTTTCTCACAGACCTTCTCTCTGCTCTAGAAGTGGATTCCCAGAACCTCCCCCTTTCCCCAATTCTGGACCAAAATCACTATTCCAAGTTTGTAGCCCAAGTTTGATTTTTTTTCCCTATTTCAACAGAGTTGGTGTTTTCCACTCTATTTTTAGTTATTTTTTTAAAAAAAATTCTTCCTTGATTAATACCATCTTTCCCGGAGATGTTATTTTTGCAATCATAATAAAACATTTTTAGTATCAGAATAAAAAGCATTTTGTTACAAATGGGAACAAGAGGGCAGAACTTCCTGATTGCAATCAAACATGGACTCCCTACACTGGACACCGGCTGGGCAGTCCTCCTGGTTGCTGAGCTGATCCTCCAGCTACACGGCAGTGGCCAGCTGTCTGTCATTGCAGACATCATTGCAGAGAAAGAGAGGGACAAGACACGGAAACCAAGGAAACCCACGGACTGGACATCAACTTAGGGCCATCCATTTATTGTTTTTTAATCTTTTTTTTCTTTTTTGGGGTACTGGGGATTGGATTCGGAGGCACTCGACCACTGAGCCACATCCCCAGCCCTATTTTGTATTTTACTTAGAGACAGGGTATCACTGAGCTGCTTAGCTCCTCCTTGTTTTTGCTGAGGCTGGCTTTGAACTCACAATCCTTCTGCCTCAGCCACCCAAGCTGCTGGGAGTACAAGCATGGGCCACTGCGCCTGGCAAATCTTCACAAGGTTGTAAGTTACATTCATTGTCCCAACTTTACAACAGAGGAAACTAAGGCTCAGAGAGGGGAACTAGCTTGCCCCACATCACAAAATGAGTAAGTGACAGAGGAAGGATTTGACTTCTGCTCCTATCATGCACAAAGCCCTTCAGAATGAGCCGATGCTGACGTCCATGCCTCTTCAGCGGCCCCTCAGGAGCCCCATGGCCTGCCCACAGGTGGCATTGCAGTCTGGACATATCCTGCCATACCTGCCTCCAGGCGTGGACTTCCCCATTTCCCAGAGGCTCGCTGCTGCCCCCTGCTCCAGTGAGGAAACCCTAGGCATCCCTCTGGAGCCAGCTGAAGTGCCATCCCCAACGCCCTGGGCACCCCCACGGCTCCCCAAGTAGGGTCCAGGCTCCTCTTCTGTAGCCTGTGTTGCTGCGGATGGCAGCGAGGGCAAGGAGTGGTCCACCTTTGTTGTGTGTCTGCCCCGGCCCCTCTGCGCGGACCCAGGTGTCCTGTACAATGTACCCGAAGAAACGCAGGGGGAAGGGGGAGACAGGAGCTGGTTCTCGCCTGTGGATGGCAGCCTGCTCGCCCATGGGTTGTCTTGTCCCCGCCCGCCCGCTGACTTCACTTGGGAGATGCGCATTCGAGGCGGGGTGGTGGTCGCAGGGGCCACCTGCGGGCGACTTGGAGCTGTGTGCTGCCGCCGCCATCCTGCGGGCGATGCTGCGCCCTGGCGTCGCCGCGGCTCTGCGGGTCCGAGGCGTGGAGACCGAAGCGCGGTGCTGCCTGGAAAGGACCCCACGAGGTACTTGTTGCTTCCACTGTTCCCAGGGGGAGCTGGAGTCGCGAGGGGCCGCGACTGCCTCTATGTCCCCAGGACGTTTGGGGGTGGGGGCTGAGAGTCCGCCCCAAGGCTGCTGTGTCCAAGCCCTGCTATGATGGATGGATCGCTGCCCACTCCTGGGAGCAGGGGAGACCAGGGCCTGCCTCCAGTTACAGCTGGACTCCGCGCCCCGAACCTGATGGTTTCTGATGAAAAAATAGCGAGTTCAAAGCCAGCCTCAGAAACTTGGCCAGGCCCTGTCTCTAAATAAAATATAAAACATGGCTGGAATGTGGCTCCGTGGTTAAGCACCCCTGGGCTCAATCCCTGGAGCCCCTGGCCCCGAGGGAGGGGAAAAAAAAAAAAAGGAATAGGAGTGCATTCCAGGAAATGCTTCCAGAAACTGTAAAGAAGATAAAGATTGTCTGGAAGCTCAGAGACACCAACTGTTAACCACATTGGCCTATGTCCTTCTAACTGGTCTTTTATCGTGTCCATGCATTTATTGGGGATTATGATGTACATAGGGTTTTTTTTTTTAAATGGCAGTTTGTATGTCTTGAGCTCAGAAACAGTAGAAAATATGTAACATTCGACAAGAATAAAGGAGAGAATGTAAAAACCACAGGTCATCCTACCATCCAGAGAGCCTTTCTTCCCAACTTAGTTTATATTTGTGTCAATCAACTCTAATGTCTCTGGCTATGTATATTTTGCAAGAATCCAAATAAAAAACATCACATTCTAAAGAAAAAAATTTATTCTTTTATTTTGTATTTCTCAATAGAGCATATTCACTTTATCTTTTTCCGCCTGGAAATTTCTCACCATCTTCCGGACACATCTGCCAACCTCCCTCTTCCTCTACCTCCCTCCACTTCCCCAACCCCCTCATCTACATGGGTGCCACTGGGGGAGAGGGAGCGGGAGGTGGGGGGAGCCGCAATCCTCCATGAATGATAGTGTCCACTTCTGTGGGGGGACTTCTTAGGGGTGAAGCTGCTTTAAGAGGACAAATGCTTTTTTTTTTTTTTTTTTTAAGAACATTATAGCCACACATGGTAGCTGGGTAAATGCTAACAGAACCTTACATGCATGGAATGCCATTTCAGTTCATGTCCCCCCTTCCCTCTCCTCCTGCCTCCCCCTATTCTCCTTTCTCTGCTCTATTGGTCTGCCTCTCCCTAATCTATTTATTTTTAATTGGTTCTTTGTACTTATATATAAAGGTAAAATTCCCTGTGCTGTATTTATGTATGCACATGATTTTTAAAGAATTCATTCTGCATTTCCTCCCCTTTCCCATCCCTCCCCTCTCCCTCTCCTTCCTTTGCCAGATTCATCTTCCCTAAGCCTCTGTGATAACCGACACTTCCCTCTGTCTTCCTTTATTTTACTCTAGCTTCCACCTATGAGAGAAAATGTTCAACCTTTGATTTTCCGAGACTGTCTTCTATCAATTGGCATGATGTTCTCCATTTCCATCCATTTGCCAGTAAAGGGCAAGTGCTTTTATAAACTTCAATAGCTACCACCAAACTATTGCAGAGAAATGGCAGCAATTTGCACTGCAGCAGTCGTGAGAGTGCCTGTTTCCCAGGAGGGTCACCAACAAAATGTTGTCAAGCTTCTGGCCCCTGGACTCACACAGCTAGCTGGGTTTAGAAGAAGTGAGCGGGGGGTGCACTGTCGGGTCTGGTGCCTGCCTCCTCACACTCAGGAACTTCTCTCCATGGTGCAAGGGAGAAGTGGTATTGTCATTTCACGGATGAGACACTGGAGATTTGGAGGGCAGCCTGTCTGCCAGGTCTGTACTCATCATCCCGGCCAGTGTCTTTCAAGCTTGAATGTCCTTTAGAATCCTAAAATGGCTTGTGAAAAGTAGGCAGGGCCCTACCTCCAGAGTCTCAGATTGAGAGAGTGTGGGATGGGGTCTAGGACAGGAAGTTCTGAGTTCTTAGAGATGCTGATGCTGTAGTCCAGGGACCACCTTTTGAGAATCACTGTTCCTGCTCTCCTCATACGGGACCCTACATAGACATGACCTTGCTGATCTACTCTTGCCCTTGGTTGGGTGATCATTTGAACTCTGCATGTTTACATACCGTATGCATGTGTATAACTGGAACTTTCAGGGTCTTCCAAATGTCTCAAGTAAGTTTGTGACTGATGATGTGCTTCCTCAAGACTGTTTCCCCAGCTCTTAATGGAGATGATGCTCAGAGGACACCACAAGGGAGTCACAAGGAAAGAAGGATGCGAACCACACTTGCAAGATTGGAAAGGCTGTGCTAAGCTAGTTGGAATGGTTCCCACTGATGGAGAAGCCATGATTTTTGGAGGAAAGCACAGGGCTACTCCCACTGAACGTGGCTGGAGGCACTCGGCTGTGGGGCTAGGGTGTCACCGTGGTCCCTTCCCAGCCACACTCTGGCTTTGCGGTTCAGTTATCCAAGGTGCATCCCAGTTCAAAATTACTAAAAGGAAAATTCCAGAAATAAACCACTCCTAGGTTTTAATAACTTTTATGACATCTTGTTGTAATTGTTCGTTGTTATTAGTTATGACTGTTGATCTCTTACTGGGCCTGATTTATGGATTAAACTTCACCGTAGGTATGAATGTGTCAGGAAAAAACAACACAGCAGCCACCAAACAACCTACCTGAGGCTCAGAACCACTGATGTTTTCAGATATCCACTGGGGCTCCTGGGAATTGTCCCCCGAGGATAAGGGGGTTGACCATATGTGGGGTTCAGGAAGGCAGGACACTGGGAGTCCAAAATAGGAATATATTTCTCTTGAAGGGATAACAGGAATATTTTTTCATTAGGAGTTCCTAATGACACCACAATTATTAAGTCTGCATGGAAGGTAGCAGCCACTAGGACACACAAATTGTCTTGTACTCTGTGTACATATAAAAGAGAGAATTTATTTTCATTCTGAGTTTATTTAACGTTTTGATCAGTTGAACTGAAATAATACATTGACTCCAACACGGGCAAGACTCTGGGCTAACACTGAAACGGTAACTGCCAGTCGGTGACAGCTCACCATCCTGACTCTACACCTTGTCCACGGAAATTAACTGTTTACCATAATAAGCTTATTGCATTTCATGTGGATTGTTTCCTTCAGAAAAGGTATTCCTAAAAGATGGGTTCATTTGTTCTTTTTTTATAAAAAGTGATTAAACCATACAGTTAATATTTCTACATAGAAGCATTAAGAGTCTGAAGCCTCAATATCCAGGCTTAAAAGGACAAGCCTCAGCTTTGTGGTGCCGTTCCCCAGTGGTTTGGCTGTGTCCCCCCAGTGTGTGCCCATTCTCGGGAGCCGGCAGGCTTGCAGCCGGTTGCTGGACCGTCACAGAGTGCAGGCTCTGCCGGCGCTGGGCTAGCTGGGGGTTGGACTGAGAGGAGCGGGCACAGCCTGGAGGCCTCGGCTTCTTACCAACAGCGCTTTCATGGCACGGAGATCTGCCTGGAATCTCAGGCTTTTTGTTGCTTTTGAGAGAGAAGCATTGAGGGTTGAAAGTCTGCCCAAGACCAGAATGCCATGGGGAAGCGTTTTGCTGTGACAGCAAATCCTCAAGCAGGAGATTCTAGCGGCACCAGGGAAGTCAGAGCTTTGGATCTGCTCAACCTTTCAGAGAAAAGAGGAACACAGACACAAGGCACCGCAGCTTTTCTTTATCAAGAAACTGTTTGCACACACTGTCAGGAGAAAGGGCCCATCAAAAGTAAATCGTTTCTAAATATTTTTTTACACTCACAAATCTCTGAATTACAATGACATTGAAGTACATTGATGAACAGGTGCCTTGGTGAATATCTACAGACTGGAAATCATCGGTTACATTACAGACTCGATGGGAATGATAGAAATCACTACCGTGATGTAAACAGCGGCCCGCGGTCCAGCCTTTTCAAACAGGAAGGAATGTAGGTACCATAGTCAAGTAAAACTCACAGTTACTGATTTATGCACATGTTAACTCTGTATCTTTCTGAAAGCCACAGAGGTCTACAAGGATGGCAGGGTGAGCCACGCAGGGAAGGGGACTGTCACTTCTAGGAAACCAGCCAACCAGATTCATGCTGTCACATAGCCCAGGCACAGAACACACTTCCAAAATGAGACATTTGCTATGGTTAAGCTGCTTGATCATATGATGGAAATAACTGAATATAAAGCCAACAACTGCAAAGTAAAATCAACATGTTTATAAGAATAAAATGCAATAAAGAAAATGCACCGACAATATGGATGTACCTAACTGTCGGTGGTGGGGGGTGAGATGCCCCACCTGGGGCTCTACTTCCGGAGTCTGTGAAGGAGCCTTTACCTAAAGTTCCAAGATCTGCACCACCTACTTCCCCCTTGCCCTCTGGCACACAGGAAGGAAGCAGCGCTCCCTTAGTACTGAGGGTACTCTGCCTGGGACTTCTGCCTTCCCAGGTCACTGCTGGGATCTCCTGGATGGAAACAGAGTGGGAATGACACTTGATGCTTTGGATCACCTTTGCGCTGACTGAGCATCTATAAATATCTACCAAGCCTATCCTAAGTGCCTACTCTACGCCTAGCAGTACCTTTTTAAAACCCTTGGCACAAGGCGGGGTATTGTCTTTGAGAAGCAGTCACTGTGAAAGCTACAGGGGGGTGTTCTCTAAGTCATCATGATTCAAACGTGAGGGAGCCGACAGGTGTCAGGCCACTGGCTCACACCACAGGCAGCGTCCTCAGCAGCAGCTTTATTCTTAAAGGCTAACGTGGAGTTTGGAGAAGCCGGAACCCAGGCTGACCGGACCTTCCTCACGACACGGCTACACAGGGCTTGCAGCGGGCAGGATCAGCTGTCGAGGTTTCCGTCCCTACTTTACAGTCCCTTGTTAAAGTACACGCGCTGCAGCTCAGGATGGCTCTCTTGGATCTTGGCTCGCAGCTCAGCCTCCAAGCCTGTCACACTCATGGAACTGGGAGGGGGAGAAAGGACACGGTTACTTTGGGGGCCAAAGTGTGAGACAGAACTAGAAGAAGTGGGGAGAGGAGGACATAGGTCTGGAGACCCAGGGCTGGTGTAGCAAAACAGTCTTCCCAAGGCTGCAAAATCCAAGTCCAGCACCTTCCACAAGATGGACGGTCACTAACAATCACAGAAACGCAACTCCCAACACCTCATCCTTAACCTCTGCTATTGCTAAGGGCTGAGCAATCTGTGGAAGTATGCAGAGGTGACACTCAGGCCTTCTGTGTCGGGGAAGCACCGTGTGGCCATGCCACCCCCCAGGAAAACAATCCAAATTCACCACTGACAGAAAGATGTGATCACTCGGCAGGTGTTCAATACCAAATATGTGCGTGTGCTAGCACACCTCTGTCTACTGCGCAACAACACCCGCTCCCGCAAAACTTCAGGGAATACCACAATGTACCAGAAGGAAAAAAAGAAAAGAAAAAAGGAGAGAAAACCACACAGTGGGGGTCAGTGGCCATGCCTGTGATCCCAGCTACTTGGGAGGCTTAGGCAGGAGGACCACAAGTTCAAGGCCAGCGTCAGCAACTTAGCCAAGACCCTGTCTCAATGTAGAATAAAAAAAGGGGGCCTGGGATGTGGCTCAGTGGAGAGCACTTGCCTAGTATGTACCAGGCCCTGGGTTCAATCCCCAATAACAGGGCAGGAAGGCAGGAGCGATTCGAATGCATTATAGCAGCAAATATATTAAGCTTTATTTGTTTTACATATACGTATTTGAGATGTGGTAACATATAAGCTGAAGAGTCAGGATATGAATTTGTATGAAAATGTGTAAAAATAAAAGAAAAAATGTGAATATAGAAAAAAGAACTTGGTAAAAAACCCCACAGTGGCTATTTTGCACACAATGGGACCGTGAGTAACCTTGATAATGACAATGATTCCCAGGTATAGACCATGTGCTCTTGGAGAGCCGGACCCTGGGACGTGAGCGGCTGTGGAAAACTTCTCACTTCTAACTGGAGTTTAAATGTTGGGAGGAACCCAACAAAACCAAGGCTAGGTGGGGTTCTACATCTGGAATCCCTCTGATCTCAGAACTACAGACACTGCTGTTCTGAAGGTTCCTGGGTCCCTCTTTATTATCCACACACAGTACGTCCCAGCCCCTGCGTGTGACGGCAGCCGACAGCCACTGGTGCACATGTGCCATCTACCAGAGAAACGAACAATTCTCAGGTTGAGCCCCAGATCTGGGGGTTTGTGCAATGGATGGGGCATGAATCTCCCAGGTAGAGATGAGGAACATCCTCTGCCCTGGTTTCCAGAACAGTCTGAGGCACCCTCTACAAAGCATGCCTCTCTGTGGCTAGGGTGATGAGTTCCCTGCTGTGAGAATTAAACCTCTACCCACAACCTGGGTCAAGGACAGAGGAAGAGCAGGCAAAAGGTGGCATCTGTGTGGTGGGGGGACCCTGAGGAAGTTCCTTCCAAGGTTGCCCCGAACCTACCTTGTAAGTCCAGGGCAGGAAGGACCTGCTGGCCATGAAGGAAAGAGCAAGGCAAAGGCAAGGGGTGTGGACATGGAGGCACACCCCAGAGCAGAGCCTCGAGCCTTGGCGTGAGCTGAAGGGGAGGCCCGGGCGCAGACGCAGCTGATCCTGCACCAGCCAATTCTGACTTACATCACAGCAGACCCAAGTGCAGCTTGTGATAAAGGCAAACGCCCAACAAGCTTTTAAGGAAAACATCAAGCGGGAAGGAGGGATATAAAGCAAGCCCAGAAACTCCCCAGCCAAGCGCACACGCCCAGCTGGGGCTGAAGTCCCGTGCCTGCTCTACAGCTGCCCTGGCCTGTGGATGGACCCCAGTGAACCACACTTGCATTTGATGATAGCAAATCTGCAAAGTTAACCTCTTATAAAACATTGGCACATTTTTCAGACTCAACAGTAGGGGGTGGAAAAGAGCCGGAGAGGGGCTTGGCAACTAGGACTGGGTGGCAGGGGTGCCTGTCTCTCCTCCTGGAGCCCTTGGCCTCACTGTTTCCGTGAGTCTCAACGCCCTCATCCACAAAGTGGAACACTAGCCTTGTCTCCCACTGGTCTCTAGGGTTAGGACTCACAATCATCCCCAACAACAGAGACAGACCTTTTCTGAGGAAACAGGGCACAGCACAGGGGCGTGGCAAACACCAAGCTTAAAAAAAGAGAGAGAGAGAGAAATCAGTTTTGAAATGGTCAGCTTCTCAGATTCTTCTTTTATTTTATTTTTGTAACAAACCCCTTTCTTTCTTTAAAACATTAGATGACCTTACAAAAAAAGTCCTGTTCACATATATTTTATTACCTGAATTGCCCAAATAATGAAGGAAAATGAACCAAAAGGAATCAAACTAAAACCAAAGAGATAACAGAAATTTAAGAAGGTCCCCCAGTCGCCCCAATGGCTGTGGGTTTCTGTAGAAGCAGCTTACTTCTCCTCTATGAGCTCCGGAGGTCCTGGTCTCCTCTCCAAAGCTCTGTTCCCCTGTGTCCACCCTTTCTCTTACCTTCATAGGTGGTGTCTTTATTTATTTATTTTTTTAAAGAAATCGATTATCTAAAAGAAATCTCTATGCTAACTACCCCCTGGCTGATCACCACTCACAGCATGTGGGTATGAATTATCACACTGCTCCCCACAGACATATGCACAATTAAAAACCAAATTCGTTTTTTTGAAACGCATCTCCTGCTCACCAGAAGCCCACGAGGCCAACTTGGATGGGTGCGCTCAGCCACGGGAACCTCTGTGGAGAGACACAAGACCGTGAGTGCTTCCGAGAGGCCCCAGAGAGCGTGCCTGCCCATAGCCAGAGGGACGCTCTCACAGCACGGGACCCAGATGCAGGGCGGTTAGACGGCTCGGGCAGTACGTGCATTAGTGTTGACTTCGGGTGGCCCTGCGGTCTGTTGGGAACACAGGTGCACAGTCCGAGGGCTGCTTACTGTACAGGGGCCATAGGTAAACAGCTACCATCTAATTATGATTGACCTCCTGGCTGGGGAGACTGTACTGCCTGATGTGCTCCCTTCCAGCCAGCTCCTGGAGGTGGGGAGAAGGCAGGTAGCTCCCAGGCCCTGCCCGAGCTTCAGTGTCCTTGCCAGGATGAAAAACAGGCATCCTCGCACTTCTCAAAGTGTGTGGCCAAAGAGGAACCAGAGGACCTCAGGGAGCACCTACACCTTCAGGGAGCACCTAGAAGTGCCCGGGGCAGGGCAGAGACTAGCAAGCACCGCCAGCGGCCCTCGCACCTTCCGCTCTCGGTTTTAGTAAACGTCAGTATGGCCAAAACTCTGTCTGGTATAAAATTCGTTACTGGTCACTTCCTTTTTAGTGAAATACAAACGTTGTTAGATCTTTAGTCTTCAAAAAAGGAGCAACACCAAGAACGAAGGCAAAGAGCACGACACACAGGTTATGCCCGGAGGCCGGGAGGTGGCAACCAAGCCTGAGGGGGTCTAGACCCTCAGCCACAGAGAAGGGCCAGCACTAGCATGCGGCAGGGAGGCGTACCCTGGTCCCCACGGAGACTCCTCCAGCGAAGAGGAACAGCAGGAGGGTCAAAGTAAAGGGAGAAGGGCAGGGACTGGAGAGAAAGGGAGAAATGTCGTCAAAAGGAGACAGATCCACGCAGGCTATGCAGAACCCCCGCCTTCAGACAGAAAGGACAGAGCAGGTGCCACTGAAGGTGGCTGTGTCCTGGGGAGTGTGTCCTCAGCAGCTCTGTCTTTATGCCAACAGCACAGAGCATGCAAACCCAAGTGGCTGCCACACCACCAGGTGGCATAACCCCATGGGACTGCCGTCATCCTGGTAGCCCATCACAGACAGAAATGTCCTCCTATAGCACAGGACTGTCTCGGGCAACTGGCTGTCTGATGCAGGGTTCCCGTGAGGAGGTGGCGAATCTCACCCAGATGTCCCTAGACATGTGACACCTGGGCAGGCACACAGCCTTGGCAATGGGTGGAAGCCCTTCCAACAGGCGTCTCCATTAGCTCATGTGGTCTTGATTTTAATTACTGCAATGACGAAAAGTACTTTTTTTCTTTGTATTTTTTTTTTCCTTTGGACTGGTGGTTGAACCTGGGGTTGCTTTTACCCCCAAGCTACACTCCCAGGCCCCCACCCCTTTTTTGAAATACCAAGTTGCCCAGGTTGACCTCGAATTTATGATCCTCCTGCCTCAGCCTCCTAAGCTGTGGGGTTTAGGTGTGAGCCCTGTGCCTGGCTGCTGGTTTGTTTCCTGAGTGAGCATTGATGGAGTTCTTCATGCATTCTGGCTGCAAAAATTTCCTCCCAGTCTGTTTCTTGTTTTTTTTTTTTTAAATCTTCTGAACAGTTTTTGAAGAGCGGAATTTTAAAAATTTGATGAAGGCAAAATTTTATCATTTTATTTCTTGACTGGGCTTGAATTTTGGGTGTTGTTTAAGGAGAGACTTTGCTAACCAGTGCTCCATATTTTCTTCCACTACTTTTATGACCACAACTTTTATATTTGTTTTCTATAAACATTGAGGGCTTATTTTTGCACATGGGTCTATTCCCCACGTATTACCAATATCCCTGCCAACCTAAAATGTCACAGCTCTCCTACCAGGTGTCATGCTGTGTCCTCAGGAAGCTTGTGTAGACCACATGTATGGCTGGTCCTGTCTAGGTGATTGCCCACCTGCCTCAGCTGGGTAACAGTCCCTCTATGCTCCATGCTGTAGTCACCGTGCATGGTGACTACAGTCACCTTTTGTCTTGGGCCCCTCTCCTCTACCATGCTGTCTGCTCCTGAGAGCGGGGCTCGTGCCCTGCTTCTGTGACTCAGGTCCCTACCACGTTCCTTGGCATCCGATGGGTACTCAGGAGAGGGCTAATGAATAAACAGTGACTAAGAATGAAGAAACAAACACCACCATCAATCAGCACAGTCCTGAAAAGCCATCGATCGTTATTAAAGGGAACAGAAAAGAACCACATTTAAAAGGAACAAGAACTATTATAGGACCCAAACTATACCAATTTTATCCCCAATGAGAGTGTCAGCAAGAGTGACCTACGTTAAAAGTGACAACCAGGCCCATTCTTCTAGAAAACTGTTTACAAAAGCACCATGATTTTAGTCAGTGGACTTCTTGGTAGCTGTAAAATTTTCCATGAGTCACCTGCCCATCCTGGGTACCTCTTCCCAGTGCTCCACTTGGGGAAAGAAGGAGCGTAGGGAGGATGACTCATGTACTTGCTCCCCACGCACTGCCGTTTAAAAAGCCCGGATTGCTCAGTTTGTTGGAGTCTGCAGAGGAGGGTGGTCATGCGCAAGGCAAAAGCCCAGATCAGTGCGTTCTTGCAGAGGAGGCGCACCTGGAGTGGGAGCCAGACCCAGGCAGACTCTGCGGCAGGGGCACGGTGTCCCACATGGGGAGTGAGCTCTGAGTCTTATAAAAGGTGTGCAGTGAAGCCCCCTTTTCTAAGCAGGGTGTGAAAATGCTCTGCCCACTGAGAAGTGTGGACATGGATAAAACCAGCTCTGCAAATATGGCAGCTGTTACTCTACTGTTTGAAAAACCATATCGATGCCCCTGGTTTGTGTTCATTTTAAAACTTTTTCTCCCTCTGCAAAATGTTTCAGAAATGGCCCCTATCCAGCGAGTCCCAGCCTCACCTCTACCTGGGCAAAATGCAGCATTTACCTGCAAGGTGCCGCTGACCTGGGAGTGGTGGGGTGTGAGGGACCCCGCTGCGCTTGGCTGTTACTTTTTCAAAGCCACTTCTTCCACTGGAATCTGAAGTACAGCAGCCACCAGACCTCCTGTGGCCAGGGAGGGGCTCAGGCAGACCCCTGGGCTATTCAGACAGCCTCTCTCCTCCACCTTGCCATAGCGCTCCAAAAACTTCAGCGTGGGGATGGGGCGGGCAGGGGCTCCATGGAAAGAGTTGAGTAAGGTGCACCCTTTCAAGTTACAATGACAGCTCAGCTAAACCACACATTACAGGGGTGGGGAGAACAGTATTTATTCATCTTTCTAATTTTGCAAAGGATTGAACAGTGTGGCCACAGTGGCCTGGGATGCAAGTGTCATTTGGTAGGTCCTCCCACGTGAGAAAGCACCAGGATGTAGCCACAGTGACTCCCACCCGAGGTGGGAGGAGGAAGCGAGTCTCCCCAGGGACTTGCTGTTCAGCGTCAGTGTTGATAGAAATGCAGACCCATAGAACTTCTGGACTTCCAGCCATGGCCAGGCACACGTCAGTGGCTAGAGGACCTAGGGTCCATTGGCTGGAGCCAAACTTGGCCGAATAATGACCTGCTGGTGGTGGCAGCTGATAAGATTCTCAGCCTTGACTCCACAGCCAGCCTAAGGTGCCCTGCCAACTGGATGTTGGGGGCATTTGAGAGGCTGAGACAAAGGGGCAGGAAAAGCTTACATGCTGAGGATGCTGCCACGGAAGATGACCTCAAACTGACTTCCACGTCACCTGCAAAACTCTTGAGGATGGTGGCCTGGTTAGAGTACTGGTTAGACCACCTTTCTCATTCTGGTCTTGCAAAAGCTGTTACTTTAATGCCACACAAACAAAATAAGATGGCAATTCCCAAGTTTTTCACACAGCTGGAAATCTGTCTTGCTTGCAAAGTGTGATTTCTCTTAAATGTGGCAGGAGAAGAAATCTGCTTTATTAAGTGTGCCTTCTGATTCCCTGCTACTTCTAAAGTCATCCATGTTGATACTGATGAGTTAAGGGATCAAAAGTTGCTTGGGTCCGCATACTGCAGACCTAGGGACTTCCAGGATCCAGAGAGCAGACAACAACCCAGGGCATCAGTGGGGTGACCATCGGATGCGGCAGCTGTTACTCTACTGTTTGAAAAACCATATCGATGTCCCTGGTTTGCATTCATTTTAAAACTTTTTCTCCCTCGAAGTCTGAACCACCTCTTCTAAGTCAAACAGAGATGGTCAGATGGACGTTTTCTCAGGTTTCTTAAATCACGAGGATGTCAAACCTGATGGATTCCAGCTGACCATTTCATGGGTAGTGCTTAGACAAGTGTTGCCCTAGCCTATAAATGAATCCTTTGGGAGCTTTAAACCATTAATCATTCCCAGTCTTGGCACCAGAAAGAGATTTCAGCAAAACTTTTTTTATGAATCTTCAAAATACAAATTTGTCAAAGCAGAATGTGAAATGAGCCCACAGTTACAATCTGGTGTGCACACAGTCCCCCTTATCAACAGGGACCCTCCTGACCCCAGTGGGCGCCTGCAATGTTGGGTGGGATAGAACCCCACACACCACATGCTTGCTTCTCCTGTGGGACAGTTCAGACACACCCATGGGGCAGTCTGTTTTCTGAGTTAGGCACATTAAGAGATCAACAGTGATAACTAATAAATAGAACGACCACATAACAATACACTGTGATCCAGTGGCCAGCATCACTGCTCTGTGCTTCAGGGCCATTAAGCAGATTAGGGGTTACTTAACACAAGCACTGTGGTACCATGACTGTCGATTTAATGACTAAGATGGCTGCTGAGGTTACTGGGCGGGTCGTGGGAGCAGAGTGGATTTGCTGGACACAGGGCTGACACTGCCCAGAGGGCGTACAACTTATAACTCATGAGCTGTTTATATCTGGAATTTTCCACTTAGTGTTTTTGGACCACAGTTGACTACAGGTAGCTAAAATCATGGAAAATAACACCAGAGACAGGTGACTGCTGTTTCAAGAGATTGCTGCTTGAGTATAGGTGGAGCTGTTGGTATTTCTGTTCATCTAGTGATTAAGGTTGTCCGAAACCTAGGGATGGGACTCGGATTTTTGCCAGTCAGCTTCCTGGGGCAGTGCAGGGTCTGTGGACTTCCTCTGGGAGCCGTGCAAGGAGCAGAGACAGTTCGTCACTGCAGAGTGACTGTTCTCTGTGGCACCGTGCACACTGTCACGTAAGACTGCTAGGGCTAGCGGTTCCACAAACTACAGTGTGGGGAACATGATGCTCCATGTCTCCAAGGCTCTCAGGAACAGGAGAGGAGTGCTGGGGAGGGGGTCCCGGATGTGGGCTTGGGGCATCCATGGGCAATGGTCTGGGAGTGTCTGTCAAGTGAGGTGCTCACTAGCATTGTTTTTCCGCAGCATTATTTTCTTGGCTTATTTTTCAAAGCATAGACTTGAAGAGAAAGTGCTCACTTCCTGCTTGCCTCAGTTTCCCTGCTGGGGCCCCCAGAGTGAGATCCAGGAACATGCCCCTGACCTCACACGGGAGGTTTGGTCTGTGAGCGGTGGCCTCTCTCCAGAGCTTCCCAGTGGCCCTTGCAGTTACAGGTTTGCTGCTAACACTCAAAAGAGCTCACCCCATGGGACCTGCCGTGTTCACCACAACACACCTGCCCTCGCAGTGAGGACCTGGGCCACTGCTCCAGGCAGGCCAAGCCACACCAGCTTCCCAACACAACATACCCTATTCATCTAAGAACTGGGAAACTGAGGTGGATCAAAGTGGTGCTTACTCGCATGGCACAGCGTGCAATCCAGGAAGGACGCTGGCAGTGGGCCGAGACGTCCCAGTTACAGCTTCAGTTTCAATCTGTGACAGCTTTAGGCCTTCAGGGCACACAGCTGATAGATAATGAATCATCTATACACAGCAGGGTCTAAGTCCAGTTCCCCAAATTACATCTTCATTCCTGACACTAACGACAGGGACCTATGGACATAATCCAAACTCACGCCTATGGACATAATCCAAATGTCACCTGTTGTGTCCACCTAGCTGGGACACAATAGGTGACAAGCAGCCCCCAGGACCCTCTCAGTGGCAGTGCTCTTCATTTAGGAACACTGCCCTAGACATCTGAGGTTGGAATGGAATGTCCCCAGCAACATCACAGCGTTTACATAAGTGCCCAAGAGACATGGACCTTCAGGTTCCTTACCTGCTGCTGGGGCAGGAGACATGGGGGGGGTGGCTGAGGAAGGGCAGCAGCTGGCACTCACCTTCAGGAAGGCCTTCTTCTCCAGAGTGTTCATGATAAATGGAGGGATGGCTGGGAGAAAGCACAGAGCACAGAAATCTCGACTGAATGACTGTTTTTGGCTCAAATTGTTTTTTCAAAAACTTGACAGAAGGCTTATGTCACTTGGGCTGTTTTTACATTGGCAGGGTGAAAACTATCTGTAGTGATTCTTTATTAAATTTAAATTTGTTGATGATGGCCCACTGTACATGCATCAAACGACTGTATGTTGCATGCATCTGTCCAATTAAACCAATAATCATAAGATAAATAAACTTAAATTTATAAAATTGCACAAGTTCGCAAAATAACATAATGCTATCTGCCAGCTGGAAAGGTCTATAACCTTGAAAGGAATTCTACACTGAGCTTTTAAAAGGCAACAGCATGGGCATCAGGAGTGATTCCCCCACAGCCTTCCTTGAGTGTCCACCATGCATGCAGGACAGCTGGGGGATCCTGCCCGGAATCATGCAGAAGTCGCTTTGATATGGGCTGGGTGGGCTACCTGTGAGCTGTTGACCTTGGTAAGGCTGCCTGATTTCTCTGGGCCTCTGTGTTCTGTTCTCCTGTCTATCAAACAGTGGGCATTATGTTAAGCTGGTGGCTATGACTAGACCTTGGGTGCAGGGGCAACATCTGGGACCTGGGTGGCAGCACTGGCTCATTAGCTCATAGCTATCCACGTATTTAAGGTCACACCAGCTGTTTCAAGGCAGCTGACAGAAATCCTGGGTTTCTTTCCTGGAGATCAGTGTTTACAATAACCAAGTTGCTGGAAATGAACTTCACTAGGACTTACGGGGGGTAAGCCTAAACCCAGAGCACGCCAGGACCATAAGTGGGAGTGGCCATATGGTTCCCCAAACCGCGGGAGCCAGGGCTCAGCAGGCGTGTCCAGGCAGCTCTGTGGCCTCCTCACAGGTAGCAACAGGGTCTGGCTCTGGGCTCTGGGCCTGGAGTTCACACTGTGGCCTCCTGGGTGCCCCACAGAACACCCGGCATCCCACATGGCAGTGGAGGTGCTTGTGTGGAATCAGACAGGCTGACCTTTCCCAGTCAGCTGGAAGGCAAGCACAGCTGGCCTTGGCCCTCAGGGTTGTGGGGGACCCTGGGGGTACCCAAACCCTGGATGTGCAGGTCCCCTGGAGAAGGTTGGGGCCCATGCAAGTGACCTTCCCACCTCCTCCTGTGTACTTAAGGTCACCTCGAGTTTACATGTGCCGCCTGGTACCATGTCCATCTCTGTGAGCAGCTGTCATGCTGAATTGCTTAAGGAACAACGACAAAGGTAAAATCCTGCCATGGTCCATGCAGATGCGTCCTCTCTGCGGGCTCATCAGGGGTGCAGGGTGTGTGGCTGTGTTCAAGGCGGCCTTCACACACCCTCCCCGACTTTTGCTGCCTAGTCCTACTTGGCTGCCGAAGAGCATTCACGGTGACAGAAGGGATTTAGAAACAGCCGCAGGCGTGGTGGGAAAGCCTGACAGTAGCTGATTAGGTAGGCTTCATCTGAGAGCTTCCTCTTATAGCCAAGTGCTCTTCGCATGCAGCTTAAGTGATAAAATTAAACACATGAATTTCTGTTTTGTTTCATTTCTTTCAAGACTGAGTGAGTCTGGGAACCTTCTCTAGGATTCCTGTCTCAAGGCAGCTTCCAGCCACCTTACGATAAGCAGGACACTCTCAGAGGAACTAAACACAATGCCGGCTTTGTGGCCACACTAGCTCCAAGCCCTAGAGAGAAAACAGTCACTTGGCACACACTAACAGCTGTTCTAAGCTTTCCCACGTATTCTGTGTTCCCAGGGTTTCCAATGGCTACAGATGAATCTTCAGGAGAAGTTATTTGTCTCCATTAAGTTTTGGGAATTCTAAGATTTACACAGATCAAATTCCTTCTCTTCAAATCCTCACCACTTGCACCATGTCACATGGTCCAAACACCCAAGTGCTATACAAACTTTGATGCACAAAATTATTAAAAATATTGCACAAAATCTTTAGAGCATGTGCATATGAGTAAATTCCATGTTTAGACAGGTAAACATCTTATCCCCAAGACAGCTCTCATTTTATGTAGGCAAATTTTTGCCAAATTCAAAGAAATCCTAAATCTGGAACACATTTGGTCCCCAGCCTTTGGGATAAGGAATACCCCTGCACTAGGTATTTATTTAGTTGTTATTTTCTGCAGTTGCCACCAGAGGCAACTTTCCCACAGGAGAGTGACTTTGCACTGCCTTGCTGTAACTAGGACATGAGAAGGCTCCCCAAGCCTCCACGTACGGGGTGAATGAAGGGACGACGGAGACGCAGTTCCACTAACCCATGCCGGGGGCCGCCATGAGAATCCTGGAGATGACCACCTGGGAGATGGCCTGCTGTGCTGCGGTCGCTGACTCGCCCAAGCGGTTCCCGTTGTCGTCGGTGACTGGAATGCCAGCTTTGAGCTCCCTGCAGAACCAAACACAAGCAAAGGTGCCCATGTATGCCCTCCTGCAGCAAATGGGACAGCATTCGCTGGCAAGATCAACCCTGCTGCATCCAGAGCCCACTCAGGCGTTACTTTTGGCACTGACAAATGTATTTTTTAAATGCCATAAACAGGTTCAGTCCCCTCTAACAGACAAAGGGAAAATAACACTATCACACTTTAAAAAGGTGTACCCTTTCCAATAACAATATGCTCTGAAGACTAGATGTGCTAACTTGAGGATAAGGCTGATTTCCATGCTCACGTACAGACCTGAGCAACTTTCCAAACCAGGGGCAGATATAAGGCAAGGCATGGAGTCGACTAGCTGCACGGACACAGTCTAGACCACAGCTCTACTGGAGAGGCAAGATGAGGCACTAACACTAAAACTCCAACTGTTACCCTGTTTTTCGTTTTCCATTCCAAAATGCTTTTTCTCGCTCTTTCTTCTCCTTTAATTTTTGCCAATTCTAAAAAAATACTTTCAAAATACAGATTAATATTACTTTAAGCTCCAAAAGAAAGTCCCAAGGGAAAAAAGGGAACCTATTTGGAGAGTCAGCTTCTCCTGCATAGACCTTCTTTGTCTAACCCAACCTCAACTCAGTGACAGCTCGAGCCATGTCCTAAGACCTTGGTTACAGAGAGCGGCTGAGCTAGCCTTGGCCTAGGCTCTCACCAGCCTGCTCTGATAACTGGCAGCCCACGGCCAGGTGTACTGCCCCATGCACCTACCCTCACCCCAAGCCTGAAATACTTTGAGGCGCATTCCAGATCACGCTTAATTTTATCTGTACAGTAAAAATATATTTTGGGAAATTTCAGTGAAGCCCATTATTACAAGAGATGTCCTGCCAGTGCAGTCCTTTGGGAGTGAAGGCCTGCCTTACCTTTGACGCATCAGCGGGATGTTAATACAATTGGCAGCAGCCACGGCAGCAAAGGGCACGAAGCGTCCTATGAGTGGCGACACGTGCTGCAAGAAGGTGACCGGCAGCGTCAGTTCCCCTCCTGTGGCCAGATAGGCTCCCAGACCCTCCCAGACATGCTGTGAGCCCCGGGCATGCAGACATACAGCCACCAGCACCTAAAAGTGTTTTCCTTGGGGAGTTTTTGCTTTCCTGGCATGGGCATACTGGGACAATGCACACCCCTGAGACACATCAGCAGCTTGGTGTAGCTGAAGGCACGTGGGCTCTAGAGTCCCAAAGTCCCAATGTTTGAGTTCAGATACTGCCTCCTTCAGCTCTTCAGAGGATGCGGCACTCAGAGGTTAGTGCACAGGGCCAGGCACAGGTGACTGTCCTGACTGGTGCCATTGGTGATGGCCCTTCCACACTCACAGGGGATATAATAAAGCATGCAGCTGCAGATAAGGGTGGAACAGCAAAGCCAGGACCAGGACATTCCTGAGAAACACCAGAAGACTGGGGCCAGAGAGGTGAGACTGCACCGCCCTGCTCTGCCACCAGATGGCAGCCCGAGTACCTTGGTCAGCGCGTTCAGCCCCAGCGCTGTGGCCACAGCCCCTGTGGTTGCAGAAACATAAGCTGTTCCCAACTCACTGAAAAGGAAAAAGGAGATCACATAAATGACAAGTGCTGTCAAGAAACTGGCACTTGGGCCTGAGGCTCAGTGGTAGAGCACTTGCCTAGGACGTGTGAGGCCCTGGGTTTGATCCCCAGCACCACATAAAAATAAATAAATAAAATAAAGGTATTGTGTCCAACTTAAAAAAAAAAAATATATATATATATATATATATATATATAATTTATATATTTTTTTAAAAAGAAGAGAAACTGGCACTTGATTTGAAGAAACATGGGGAGAGAAGAGCATGATAAAAAACCAGGAGTCCACAAGATGATGCTCTTCACCACTATACAAGAGGAGAAAGCCAAGAGAAGTGGGCCTCAAGAAGGGGCTTCTTCACAGAGACAATCCCAGATGGCAGACAGCACATAAGCCTCCTGATGCTGAGAGCAGGGCACGCCGGGGTGGGCCAGTCCAGCGGCCAGGGTGGGAAAATGCTGTGGCCAGGCGCTAACCGCAGAGATACTTCCCTCACGTTCATACACACACAGAAAGCAGGATGCAGTGCTGCCATTCTTCCAACACCGCCTTGGTGGACAAAATATGACAACGCATGGGCTCACCCCAGACAGAGGGCAAGCAGCTGGCTCTTAGTGGGGATGGACACTGCTGGGTTGCAGATTTCCGTATCCACTGGATGAGAGTAGAATGGAACTGTGGCCTTTCAAAGGTAATTTTGAACCACCAAAAGGAAAACATTTTCTTTCAAGTGTTACACAAGCTACTCTACCATTTTTGTTCAATCTCCATCTTTAGCTCGTTTCTCTCTCTTTTTTCTAACAGCAGGCAAACTTGTGATTTCTGCTTTCTATTGGGCTCCAGAGACAAAGCAGGCACAGGGTCATACCACCATGACCCAGCTTGATTTCTGCAGAGGCCACACTGTTGACTTCCCTACTTTGATGCTGGGGGCTTTGATGCATGCACACTTAGGAGAGTAGAGCGTGTCCTTTATAAATGGTCAGACCTGAGGGCTCCCCAGGCTGTGCTCTACAGGGGCACCAAGCTCCAGGGTGCATGAGAGATGCCATCCTACCAGTGCTACTAGCAGCAGGAATACTGACAGAGAGGGCAGGTGGAAGGAGGCCTCTGTTTTGACCCAGAGGGAGGAGAAACTCTACTTTAAAAGATGTTATGCAGATTTCTGCACAGCATAAACAACATTTTAAAAAATGTATCTTCATTTTATTTATTTTTATGTGGTACTGAGGATTGAACCCAGAATCTCGTACGTGCTAGGGAGAGCTCTACTGCTGAGCCACAACCCCAACCCCAACAAATGCATTTGAGTTTTTGAAAAGGAAAGTATTATCACTTAATCAGATGGGCACTGGGAAGCAAGAGGAGGCGGAACCTGCGAGCTTACCTCATAGTGAGAGGGGCATCCCCACTTCTGTTGGTGTAATTGACGATGGCGTTGAAGGACTGGTTGATCCACTGCCAGAACAGGACAGCTGGTGTGGTCCTGTAACAGAGCAAACCACCCCTCACCACCTCCACCTGGGACCAGCTATGGCCGGAGTCAGTGTGTGCATAGCGACCGTCAAGAGGAGGGGGCAGAGAGGAAGGCTGGGGCGGAGAGGAAGGCTGGGGCAGAGACACAGGCCACAGGCTCAGGACCTGTTTGGTGGCTTTTGTCCTCTGATCAGTTTTCTCATTTCCAAGCTCAGAGGGTTACTATGTGATGAAGGTAAACTGTAGAGAGCCTGGCACAGAGGGACCATAAACGGCAGGTTCCTCCTCTTGGGCTGGGCAGTCCTGGCACCTCCTAGCTGCAGTCCTATGTGCTACTGTGTGTCCATGTATGTGTCCAGGTCGACCTGCACCTGTGCTTACACCTACATAAGGTATTTTATATCCATATTTATATAAATAGGCTAAAAGGAGAATTTGCTCTTAGACTCTATTTTCTTTTGGGTCTAAGATTTAGGAAAAACTTCAACTTCCCTTTGAACAACAAAGAAGATGCTACTTGGCAAGGGAGAAGGTAAAATGGATCTTTAAAGTGTTTATTAAAGATAGGGCTGGGGATGTGGCTCAAGCGGTAGCGCGCTCGCCTAGCATGCGTGCGGCCCGGGTTCGATCCTCAGCAGCACCACATACCAACAAAGATGTTGTGTCTGCCGAGAACTAAGAAAAAATAAAGGTTAAAATTCTCTCTCTCTCTCTCTCTCTCTGTCCCCCTCTCTCACTCTCTCTTTAAAAAAATAAAATAAAATAAAGTGTTTATTAAAGATAGATCTGCTGCTGAGCAGAGGTCAAATTTACACCAAATAGAACTAAAAGTGAAATGACATATTTTTCTCCCCAGTGCAACAATACCCCTATTTGATTTTATTTATTTACTTTAGTTGGTACCACAGATTGAACCCAGGGGTATTTAACCACTGAGCCACATTTTTAGCCCTTCTTTTTTCTTTTTTTGAGACAGGATCTTAAGAAGTTGCTTAGGGCCTCGTTAAGTTGCTGAGGCTGGCTTTGAACTTGCCATCCTCCTGCCTCAGCCTCCTGAGCTGCTAGGATTATAATCCTGCATCACTGTGCCTAGCTCCCCTATTTCATTTTTAATCATTTTAAATTTTATTTTTGTTGAATTTATTTGTAGAGTATAACATGCTATTTGATATCCTTCTGAATAACTAAACCAAATTCATTGACACACTCATCACCTATATACTTAGGAAACAGCATTTAGTTTTTAGACACTTCATATAAATATACACTTTGAAAAAAAAGACATGAGGGGTGCGGAATGCTTGTGCCACAGTGAAACCATTCTTATGTGAATTAAAATGCACTGATCAACACAGGCACCCTGGGTCTCTGGACAAGGGGCATCCAGCTGGCCACAGGGACGGCTCACCTATAGAAGGTCATCATGCACCCGGTGATGGTCATGTTCATGGGCACCTGGGCCGACATCCGCCCGATCAGGATCATCTTCTCCCCAGTGTCAGGGTGGAAGGCAGACTCGTACACGTACTTGGCTCTCCATAGCTCGTTCTCTGTAAGACCCGGAGGGACAACTCCTTGTCTAGGGACAGGACCACAAATAACACGGGGCGGCTCACTTCAAGTCCTCACGGCGCCCACACAGGCCTCGGCACGCTCACACCTGCCTGCCGTGACGGGGCTAGCTTAGTTCTCAGCTGGCACTGACTTATTTGTATATTTATGCCTTTTTGACGCCAGGGACTGAACCCAGGCACACTCCACCACTGAGCTATGCCCCAGTCCCTGTCGGTAAAAATGTTAAAAACACAAAGGATAACAAGTGCTTAAAATGAACACTTCAAACATATTCATCTGAAATTATCTGTAATTTGAATTTTTTTTGAAAAACTGTATACCAGAGAAGTATTCAACTTTGAAATATTCTTTGTTTTAAATGACATTAAAAAATGTAGTTTGAACTTTTCAAACTCTAAAATATTTTAACCAATTAGACAAAAGCTATGGCAATCAAGAACACTAATTCATTTTAAACCTGTAATTTGGAAACCTAGCTTGGGAAGACTCTTTAGTGTAAAAGAAATGTCAGGCACATCATTTGTTATTTCTTCTCTCTGTCAAAGGAATACCTGTCCATTGCCAGAAATTCAGAAAATGTACGAATTCATCAGAGCGATTAAATCACTGCAGCCTTAATGCAACCTGGTGAGCAGCTTCAGTCTCCCTCCCAGGGTCCATATGCTGAGTGTTTATGTAAAGGTGGGGCACCAGACCTGCTGCTTCAACACCACCTTTTAAATTCAACAACATTTTGTGAATGCTTCTGTGCCTACAGATATTGGTCATCTCTATTGGGTTGAACAGTGTTTTTCCCAAATTTTATGTTCACCTGGAACAACAGGATGGAACCTGATTTGGAAATGGGGTCTCTGTAGATGCAATTAGTTAAGATGAATGCTACTGGATCACAGTGGTTGCTAAGTCCAATGAATGGGGTCCTTAGGGAATGGGCAGGTGCCAACATACCAGGAGGCCACATGCTTTAGGAGGTAGAGCCCCAGTACCCACAGCTCAAGGCCAGCAAAACATGCCCAGAGCCAGCAGGACCTAGGGAGATGCAAAGACACCGTCTCCCCTCCAGGCTTCAGAGGGAGCAGGGCCTGCTGGCACCTGAACCCAGAGGCTGAATTTCTGAAGTTTGAAGCCACTTAGCTGGTGGTAAATTATGGCAGTCTCAGGAAACAAATATGACACCTTTTAAATGTGCACAGCATCTGCTGCCTGATTTTAAAACAAAGTCTGATTCCAGTGCCCTGGTGTGAGCATCTGAACTGCTGAACTTTCTTCCTCTGTGAAGGATGAGGAAGCACACACAGTTCCCTGGCAAGTGAGTCACCCCACATGTGAGACTGTCCAGAGAGGAATGTGCAAGGTGGCCGACACCAAGGCTGTGCAACATGTTAAAGCTTCAGCTACGTCTCTGTCTTGATCATCATCAACAGCAACAGCAGCAGTGTTGATATTTAAGTAACTTGTAAGTGTATTTTATACGCGAGGGATTACTAACCCAAGTTTTCACTGCCAGTGTGTTTCTGCCATCCTGGATGATTCTTTCCTATCTAGTTGGGGAGGGTAAGTGAGGCTCTGCCTAGAAGGTCTGACTGACCGTGGTGCAGTCGTGCAAATGTCCACCTGTGCTTCCCACTGTTTCAGAACAGTGATTTCCCTTTTGTCACTAGTTTCTTGTTTGCTTGAAATGTATCTTAACATGGGAACATTGAACCTTGCTTCACCTCATCTCCCAGGTGGCTGCCTGCTCTGGGTTGAGATTTCGTGACCTAGACCTTCTCCTGTGTTCCCATTTATCTGCATATTCTGACACCAATGCCCATGATCTTATCAGTCCATCGTGATTGTTGCTGAAGCAACTGCAACTCTGACAGGGGAAAAAAGATGTCAGTGGCGGGAACACGAGGTTAAGGGAATAATTCTATCACATGGGCCCACTGGGCTGACCCCCACATGCTTTCTATTCCAAGAAGCAATTTACTTGCAGCCCTGCCTGGCCTAAGTGGACAGGATTCGTCAACATTTCTCAACAAACTACCTGTTATCTGCAGGAGAAATGCAGGCCTGAAATAACATTGGAAGGAGGAACCCAAGTTATCCTGACGGGCAGATCTTTGTAATCGCTTTACAGACTGAATCCCAGAACCCAGGGAGATGAGGATTGCTCCTAACCTGTAACAATTGTCTGTAACAATTTATGGTTAAGAATCCCATTAGAACTGGTCAGCATGGGCCAAATGACCTAGAGCTGTCATAGCAGTGGGGACTTAAAATCTGATGTCATCCTGCTGTCAAAAGTCAAGAGGTGGGCCTGGGCAGGACTCTGGAAGCTTCTCTGGGATCCCCAATAAAACAGGAGTGCAGGAGAAATGCTGTCCCTCTTGTCTCTGAGAAAACCCACTCCTTCCCCGAGACTGTCCCTTTTGTCTTTTCCATCCTTTCAATAAGTTTTATTGCCCGTTCTTCTGATCAACATGCCTGGAATCTTTCTGACTGGATCACAAGGATTGGGGCTTGAAGGGGATGGTTGTGCTGCCTCAGTTTCCCGGAGGGTCCCAGCTCTGTGACAACTCATCTGTTCTTTTTTTTTTTTAAAATGCCTTAATCACACTCATTATTTATTCTTCCAGAAAAACCTTACAATTATCTTATAAACTTCATAGGTGATTACAGTGTGTTTTGACCGACACCCTGTAAACTGGAGAGCGGATACTGCCAACAGTGCTTCTAAACTAATGGAGAGGAGGGCGCAGGGCCGCTCCACAGCTTCATGGAGCACACCGCAGTGCGGTATCCCAGGGACACGCCCTGGGACACGGAGAGATGTTATGGGGAAAACAGGAGGGGCCTGTGGTCAGGTTTAGGAAAATAAGTTAAAAGGCTTCTCTACTCCTCGACTTCTTGGAAGTTATGAAAGTGACATCCACTTATGGGATATGGCACCCTCAGGAACGGAATGTGAACTTTTCCAAATCCAACTATAGAAACCACCTTCCTCTCCTCCCCTCCTCCTGTGCTGCACCTCTGCAAAGCCATTCAGGAAGTTCTGCTCGGGTGGCTCATCCCCTGTGGTGGGGCGGGCTGCTGGCCTGGGAGCTGTGCCTGTCATCTCTTCTCTTCCTTCTGGTGCATGTTGGGCAGCGCCTCACCCCGGGCTGATGGGCCACTCCTGGCTTTTGTCTGCATTTTTCGTAGCTAATAACACTCCAGGTCTTCCCAGATGCTCGCTTGCTATTCCCAGCATTCCTTTGGGGAGGTGTCGTCTGTCTACTGCGATCTATCACCCACCTTACAAACTGTGTCGTCTTATCCTTATATTCAAAGAGAGTTTTTTTTTTTTTTTTTTCATCTTCTGGGTATAAACCCTTTGTGAGATGAGTTTTGTGAACACTTCCGTGCAGTCTGTGAGGTGCATTTTTGCTCTCTAAATGGAGTCATCTGCGTGGAAAATCTTTTACGGTGAGGAAGTTCATTTTTCGATGGTTTCGTTCCTTTTTTCCCTCCCCCTGTGCTCAAGTCCCAGAGAATCTTCGCATTTCCCAAGGCCACAGAGGGGCTCTGTTTTCTTCTAGGGATCTTACAATGTCAGCTTGGATGTTTGCTCAGATCATTGTCACCGTGAGCTGCCTTTGGTTTACAGAAGGATGGACACTCACTTTGTAGGACTGCCCGATTTTTCACTGATCGCAGCCACATTTCCTCGTGGATTATCTTGGTGTAAAAGCAACTCAGTGTGTGAGCGTGGATGTATTTTAGGAATCAGCATTTTGTTTCATGGTCTGTGCTACATTTTGGATGCTGAATGTCCTCCCCAAAAGGCCCGTATGTGGAAGGCTCAGTCCCCAGGGTGGTGTTATGGGGAGGAGAGGGCTCTCTATGAGGGGCCTGGTAGGAGGTCTTTAGGGCATTGGGAGCGTGCCCTGGAAGGGGCTGTGGGTCCTTCTCATCCTTTTCTTTTTTTCTTGTACCCTGGCCATGTGGCAAGGGATTTTTCACTCCACCACATGCTTCTGCCATGATGTGTGCCCCCCCAATCGAATCAAAGAAATGGGGCAACTGGTTATGGATTGGAACCTTCAGAACTATTGAGCCAAAATAAACCTTTTCTCCTTCTAAGTTGATCAGCTCAGGTATTTTGTTATAGAAACACAAAACTGAATGACAGTCTATGTGTCTACCTTTGCACCAGTGCTAGGCATTTTTACTGTTAGTGCATCAGGTCTTAAGATGAGGTAGGGTAGTTCCTCAACTTTGCTCTTTCTCAAAATTGCATTCAATCACCTAGGTCCCCTGTATTTCCATGTAAAACTTTTAAAATTAGCTTGCAATTTCTATAAAAATCCTGCTGGGATTCTGATGCCACATTGAATCTACATCAATTTGGGAACAAATGACATTTTAATGATTAGGGGTTTTCCAAACTATGAACACGGTATTCTCTTTTCATGTAAACAACAAACCAACCAAGGGATTCCTTTTTGTAATCTCTGTGTTGTGTGCTTTGGCTTTACAGGCATTTTACACATTTTGTTAATGCAATTTCCAAGTATTTACTATTTTTGTTGTTTTTGAAATAGCATCATTTAGATTATTTCCAGTTTACAGCTGTTAAATGCTACTAGATGAAAATCAAATTGATTCTAAATACTGATCTTGTGTCTTGTGACCTTGACAAACTCACTTCTTCTAGTTTTTATGTATTTGTATTTTTTGTGGATTCTTTCTACACGAATGGTCATATTCGCTGTTGTCTTTAATTCTGCTGTTGATCTTCTAGCAGCCCCAGCACAGAGCTGAGGAAGAGCCCTGGAGACGGACGCCCCGCCAGCTCCCAGCCTCAGGGGAGCGAGCTCCTCCCCTTCTCTTCCTGGTCTGCTGAGAGTCTCACCACAGAAGCCGGCTGGGTTCTGTCAGGTTCGCTGCCCCTGCGGCGATGAGCACCTGGTTTGGGCTCTGTGGTCCACGGATGGAGCTCTGTGGATGTGGGGCCAGCCTTGTCAGAGGCAGCGGGGGCACTGCTCCAGGAGCTGCCCTCCACCTGGCCAGCTGACACCTGGGCTGTCCGTGAGGGATGTCATTACAGAGCTGCTGCTTGAACCCCGTGTGTCAGGGATTAGGGCCCCATCGATGGAAGAGGAAGAGTTTGCCTCCTACTTTCTGGGTGATCTGTGGGTGAGCGGTTCTTCTTGGGAAAAAAAACGTTTTCCACTCGCAAAGCCAGGTTGCCTGAGAAAGATTTTGGATGGTTTTGCTTTTTATTTTTCTATTTGTTCTGCCTCATCTCTTCCTCACCCTTTCCCCCTCTTTCCCTCCCTTCTTTTGAACAAATTTTGGTTGTTTATACTTAAAAAGTTAAATATTTCACTAAGATTTTCAAACTTTTTAGCAAAAAAGATCCATAGTAGGTTTTATTTATTTATTTTGATCCCAGGGACTGAACCCAGGGTGCTCAACAACTGGGCCACATCCCCAGCCCTTTATGTTTTATTTTGAGACGAAGTCTTGTAAGTTGCTTAGGCCCTCGATAAATTGCTGAGGCTGGCGTTGAACTTGTGATCTTCCTTCTCAGCCTCCCAAGTTGCTAGGATTGCAGGTGTGTTCCTCTGCACCCTGTGGTAGGCTGTATTTTAATATCTATTTCTTCCTGAGGGAACTTTCTTGTTCCTCTCATCAACTTCTATGTATTTATTTTATATTGGTTAGACTTGCCAGAGGCTTGGCCTTCCCTTATTCATCAAGGAATCAATTCTCTCACATGCTTTTTGGAAATTATTAATTTCTGACTCATAGCAACGACGTCCCTTCCACTGTCCTTGCAAGCCAGCTTATGTGGCCATGAGCAGCAGGGACTCTGTGGTGTGACCCTCGGGTTCTAGGTCTGGCTCTAGCAGGAGCTACAGTCTGTGCCTCAGTTCCTCCACCTGGAATTCGGGCAACATCGCATTGGCCTCTCCTGCTGCTGAGGTGCGGGTGGGCAGCAGGAAGGGCGTAGGCGGGCCTGGTGCAGGGCTCGGATGGACTTGCTCCCTGCACTGCTCTGCTGCGGTTCCGATTTCTCAGGCTGCAGGTGGGCCCATCAGTGCCAGGCTTTGCTGGTAAGTCACAGAGATGTGGAGACGGAAATGAGCAGCAGAGCACACTCTGACTCGACTTCTCCAGGTTTCCCAGGCAGTTTCTCATTGTGTTTGCTATTCTACTTTTGGCTATAGGAAGTGTTTAGGAAATGCTATGTGCCCCAAGGACCTGTCAAAGACTGTGTAAAGGAAAGCTGTGTAAGGATTTCCTACGACTACTGTGTTTTAATCAAGTTCTATTTTTATATACTTTATCAAAACCATTTTTTCCTGATCTATTGGCCCTGAATCATACTGCATCTGATTTCCTACAGGAATCCTTTCCCTTTCTATTCCACGTGCCCTTCCTGCCCTCGAGAAGCGGGGAGGAGTCTGCCTTTGCTGCTCCTGCACTTTTGTCCTCTGGGATGAAAGCAGTAGGTGCAGCACCCCTGCAGACTCCTGCCCGCGGGCATTCTGCACAGAAGGAGGGGCTGACCGAGGGCCACAGGCTCGCCTGCTATTTTAAGGATTGTCTTTACCCACTTCATGGATGCTTGTAGAAATTTTAAGTTTGTTACAGATGAAGTAAAAGAGATGTCAGCTGACCTTGCTTGAGATGGGGCAGGTCTCTGGAATCCACAGATGTTTCCTTCCCGGGTTCCTCCTTCAGAGCATCACACGGCCCACCTCCACTCGCCCTCCTCTACGCCCTTCCGTGATCTCCTTCACCTCTTTCTCCTTCACCTACCCCAGGTGTTACTAGCCACGCCTGTGGGCGGTGGGTGGGCTTCCGTTCCAGAGGTGAGAACAGCCAGGCATGCTGAGCCATGGACTGCTGCCTGAGGCCACTGCCCCTAGCCCTGTACAGAGAGTGGGCCATCCCACCACACCCTTCGGAGCACCCAGGGTCACTCTAGACCCTACTCCACCTGTCCAAGGTGCCGCGTCTGTGGCTAGCTTCATATCCGCCTTGAGGGACAATTTTGAATGGCCTCTGAGGTGCCCAAGTCTTGGCCATCCTCCTACTGCCCTCTCCCGAGCCCACACATGAGTCTTGGCACCCTGATTCTTTCTTATGGCTTCTGTTCCAGATTCTCCAAGAATAGAGGACGTTCCCCAAGTTTCTGAACCATGCTGACTGCGAGGTCGTCCTTCCCTCCTTGTTCAGAGCTTTTCACAGGCTCTGGCTGTTCTGATGCCATGGTGGCCATGTTTGACCCCTGGCTGAAGCTGGCCACCAGCCTCAGTGGCGTGGCTTAGGTGTAGGGCTTCTGACAGCACTGTCCCCAGCTTCTAGTGCCCCTCCTTAGAGCAGGGGCTGGCACTCCTCCCCACGGCCAACGTGGCCTGCTGGATCAGAGAGACTTTCATATTTTTTAAAAGAATTGTTAAAAAAAAAAAAGCAAGTAATCAAAAAATTAAGAATACTATGCAACAGTGTGGTAGCCTCTGTTGCTGGGTTAAAATACGACAGAACCAACTTAGAAAGAAGAAAGATATATTTTGGCTCATGGCTTCAGGGGTCTTGGTTCATGGTCACTTGGCTCCCTTGCTTTGGGCCTGTGGTGACAGAGGACACCACGGCAGGACTGTGTATTGCAGGAGCCTGCTCACCTCAGGGCGGCTGGGAAACAGAGAGAAAGGGATTGGGGTCCCAAAGCCCCCTTCAAGGGCACACCTCCCACAACTAGCTTCCTATCCTAGTACCTCCCACGGGTTCCCCTCTTCTGAGCAGAGCCTTACTTGGCTGGGGACCAAGGCTTGGACACAGGAGCTTGTGGGGACTTTCTAGGGTCATACTAGAGCAGGGGCCCTCTTGGTCCACAGGAGCACTTCTCACCTCGTTTTGTGGGAAAATTGCCAACTGCTACCTCAGAGTAGCTCCTCCTGGGCACCCCGGGGACGGCTCAAGACTTGCTGCCCCGACCGACTTTGCAGACATCGAGCCCCTGACATAAAGGGGCTGCGTCTGCTGTGGCCCTGCACCCCCCATGCGCTTGCTTCAGGTCCCCTCTAATAGCCTGCCATTCTGATTCCATATGCACACCAGGTGAACAGTGGTGACACTGCTGTGTTCAGGGGATGAGGACGAGAACACAGGTCTGCACGTGTTCGCGCGACAGAGGCAGTATTTGCCTTTGTTATTTTTGACATCTTCAGCCCGTGGCTGGTTGCATCGGTGGCTCAGAGCTGGTGCTATGGGACTGCCTGCGTCTACCCAGGTGCCACTCTCTGTCCTCACACCTGGCACTTGGCTGATGGGGCGCCTCCCAGATCCACAGCCCTGAGTCCCCCTCTGTGCTTCCCTTCCAACGCCTCCCTACAGACTTCCACCCGCTGCGCTGTATCTCGGAAGCAGGGCCCGCCCCTGATTCACAGCAGTGTATCTTTTGCACTATGCTGTTTCTGTCCAGAAATGGAAGACACTGTGGGTGGTTGTAGCCCCAGGGGTGACCACAAAAGAAAGGAGATGGGTCGGGGTTCAGAGATGGGGACCACGGGCAGCAGGAACGTGTGCCCCATTTTTAGGCTGCCCGGAGTCCCTGCTATGAGCTAAGGTTCAGCAATAGGGGGGTGCAACAGACTTGCTGATTATTTTTGGTAAAAAGGATTTCATTGTGAAACAAATGCTGCAAGATCACCAAGTGAAGCTTTAAAAGCAACCAACATGTTAATCAATTTACAGATTAAGCCAAAAATGTGGTCACTATCGTCACCTGTAATCATGGACTATTCTCTTTGCGTTCTCTAGTTGCTCATCCGTTAACAGGATGTTCCTGGGATCCGTCACGGTGAAGAAGTGACTGGCTCGCCCCACAAACGTGCTCTGATCCCATCGAGGTTCCTCGATGTTGATGTGCAATGGCAGTTCCCCAGACATCGTCCCGCCTGCAAAGCAAGAAGACCATAGAAGATCCACCGTCACCCCAGACTTTTGATCCTCAACTTGGTCTTAAAGGTGGATTGGCTCTTTCTGTTTATAAGTGTCATTTTGGTATAAGTGGCAGAGAGGCCACCTCAACCAAAGCTGACTCTGTCCCCAAGTCTCAATGCACCTTAACCAAATGTCACTGATTTTCCACACACTTCTCTTTATAAGTACACAGTATTATGCCACCCCTTACTTGATGGAAACCTAAAAATAGGGAAAAATAGAAATACAAAAGGGTTTAAAATAATATCCAAAGTAACAAGGTCTGGAGTTGGAAATGCCAGGCACCCGGGTCTGCCTGCTTTCTGCCCCTGGGGGCAGAGGTGACTATGCATGCAGAGAGCACAGACGCCAAATGTCAGAGTCCAGCCAAGACACGGGTTCACTTGGCCTGTACAGCACATGAACCACTAACAAGAATCAAAGGTGCCAGGTTACCTTCTTCCATGTACCGGGCACCCACTGCAGCCTGAGATGCCCTCGAAGCATTTCTGCCATTTACAGCAAAATGATGTTGATAAACAGAGCCTCACAACCGTTACTTTTTCCCCTTAGTAATTAACCTGTTTCTCTGAGTAATGTATGCTTATTTTAGAACTGCACTGTGTGTGGTAGGACATGCTTATTGTAGCATTCTGAAAAATACAAGCTTGTTATAGAAAATAAAGAATAAAGAAACAAAATCGCCCACAGCCGAGCTTCTCAGAAGTAAGCATGGTGCATGTTCCCATTCACTTCCTTGAAGACATCTTCTGGACACATTATCATAGAGATTGACACAATAACTTAATTCTTTAATATCATTTAGTTCATGACAACTTCTATGCCATTAAATAATCATTTGAAGTAACACCTTTAATCTTGATGCTGCCTCAGTTTTCCACCATTATATGTGACGCTGCACTCTTGTCTGAGAGTTTCTTCCCCTGACTGATGATCTTAAACTTGACCTTGAAGTCTGATGTTAACAGGTAGAAGGACCTACCCACTCGGAGGGCTTCAAACCACTGCTTTCCTGTACCCATTTCTATTTCCATGTGTAATACCTGTTCAGATCAGAGCTCTCTTTCTTAGGTCATTGTTCATTAAGTTACTTCTTCAGAGCTTTATAAGCTCCTAAGTATGTTAAGATGTCATCTGCATGCCTGCAATCCCAGTGACTTAGGAGGCTGAGGGAGGAAGACCACAATGTGAAGCCAGCCTGGGCAATTTAGGGAAATACTGTCTTGAAAATAAAAAGGCTGGGGATATGGCTGAGTGGTGCAGTGCCTCTGGGTTCAATCCCCATCATCTCAGGGAGAAAAAAAGGCAGATGCAAATGCTAGGCACTCTAGGATTTGATAAAATCTCCAACACGTTCTGTGGCCCACTGGATCAAGACTGAGAAGGCTAGTTAGGGCCACAGCGAGGAGGAACCTAGAGAATGTGAAGCCGCCTTGGCATTACAGTAGCAGCAGGGACAGTGACAAAGCAGAAGTCAGGCCTGCCCCTGTCCAGGCCGCTGGGTCCCAGAGAAAGCCAGCTGCGAGGCTGCTGGGATTACCTTCCTCCGAGGCTGCAAGGTAGCTAAGGTGTGCCACATGGCTCCCTCTGCTGAGTAACCACTGCTTTCTTATCTCGTGGAGAAACCTGGTTCTTTGTCTCCACAGGATCAGAAACTTTGCTCCTTGGAATCTCAACAGGAGGAGTGAAAGTCTCCACCCTAGCACAGAGTGGGGAGTGGCTCTCCAACCCCCAGCAGCTCAGGTCAGGGGACTTGTGGACCCAGCATTCCCAGTCTACCTTAACTCAGCAGTTTCCAAGGACACAGGGATGCAGATCCATGCTGCAGTCCCACAGCTTACTCCTGCTGGTCTGGGCTGACCAGGTGATGAGCAGAAACACAGGGACACACGGGCTCAGTGGGAGCAGATCCCTCCTCCTGCCTTCCACCCCCGTGTCTTCTCACAAGGGTTATTTGGAAAGAGGTTTCTACTGCTTGGAAAAACAAGAAAAAAGTGTCTTAGGAGCAGATGACCTTGAGAGCTAGGAGATGATGCAGGAAAGTCGAGAAGCTCTCAGGATACTCTGGGTTGTTGTCCCTCCTCAGCTTCATCAGTCAACCTCAACGTCCATTTATCTAGGGCTCGGGGAGGGCGGCTTTGTTTTTCTAATTCCCAAATCCCATCAGGGACAATATTTTTGTGTTAAAAAAAAAAAAAGGAAAAGGAATTTTGAGAGAAATGAAGACAATTAGGTAAAAAATTAGAGCCCCAAGTTTTATTATTAGAGTCAGGAGACATCAAATGGCTCTGTCAAACTGTTGTTTAAAGTGCTCGAGGCTAATTTCCAGCATTTGGACCTCGTGATTGACCTGTGACAACTCACTCTCTGGCTCCCGCAGGCCACACTTTGAACTTACAATGACGTGTATGGTGCGAAACCTGTTTCGTCCCCGATGTGTCATCGAAAAATGTCAAACATCATCACAGGACTGAATAGAACGCAAAATCTGGCACAACTTCCTCCCATTTTTTAATGAGCCCACAAAGGTTGAGTTCCCTCCCTTTAGTAGATCACAATTTAAATAAAGAACAGAAGAAATTCTTTGCAGGAAAAGTCTGTTGGCCTTGGTTTTCTGTAAGGGCTACAAAGTGCTGCCATCTTTGTGCCTGCGGGCTGCTCTCGGACTCTGTGACAGGCTCTTCAGCTATGTCAGAGAACAAAGAAGACACTTCCTGCCCCAGCACACGGGGCCACTGGGCTCCCCCTGGGGGAAGGGGGAATGAGAAGCAGAGAGAAGCAGGTTACTCCTCACAGTGGAAGGTGCCCGAGGTTTGGGAAAAACCAGAGTGGACATGAAGGATCCCAGGACGGTAGGCCGCATGTTCAGCAGGGCAGCCAGAGCAGGGATGGCTGGGAAACAGCACTGGAGGGAGAGAGAGGGCTGGGAGGAACTGAATCCTGTGGGCATCTGGGGGAAGAGCATCCAGGAAGAGAGAATGAACCTTGCAAAGGCCCTGAGGCAGGCACATGTCCAGTGTTTTTAAAGAATAGCAAGAAGGCTTATCTTGGGGGAGGTGAGGAAGAGGGAAGTGAGGGGAGAGGGAGAGGGAGGGAGGGAGAGAGAAAGAGACAAACACACACAGAGAGAGGGAGAAGGAGAGGATCAAGGGAGAGAGGGAGGAAGGGAGGGAGGGAGGCCAGGGGAGGCCGGGGCGGGGTCAGCCAGTGGGAGGCCTTTGCCTTCTGATCAGAGGAATGAAGTCACTTGACTTAGAATTCAGTCTCTGGTGCTGTGTGGGGAGGTGGGGAGCCAGAAAGGAGCAGATGGAGTAGTGGTGAGGTGACAGCCACCCAGAAGCGGCGCTAGTTGGGGCGCGGCAGGGAAGCCACCGGAGGGCTGGATGCCAGACGTTCTGCTAAAGGAGCCAACAGGCCTTCCGATAGCTGGGCGTGTGGGCTGTGGGAGCAGGAAAGGCAGGACTTCCAACGATGGAGGAACAGCGAGCCTGGGAGGGAAAATGGGAAGTTCAGACTCGAATGTGCTAAATGTGAGGTGCCAAAGGGCACCCAAGTGGGGCACCCAGGCAGTGGAACGTGGAGTCAGAGTTCAGGGTGGCAGCCAGCGGGAGGAGGCGGTCAGTGGGAGGAGGCAGTCAGCAGGAGGAGGCGGCAGAGGCAGATGGCAGAAGCAAAGGGACTAAGGGCTGCCCTATGAAGGTCAGGAAAAAGCCTGAACAAAGGTGGCTGGGTGGGAGGCCAGGGGCTTAGCGTCCTGCAAGGCAGGAGTGGTGAGCTCTTAGTAACCTGTGTGCCAAAGAGCTCTTGGTGACTGTTACTTCGTTCTGGGATAGTAAAGAGGGGTGCCACCCCTCCCCAGGGGCCAGTATGGCAGACAGGACACTGTGAAGACAGCTGCCTTCGCAACTTCTAAGAATCCTAAGCAATGGTGGCAGTGAGTGTGGAGAGACGCTGGGGTCTCCCTGTCCCTGCCCGGGGCCTGTGCGTTCCTGCTAACCCCCGGCACAGACAGTGGTTCTGGACTCACCAGAAACCAGCACAGCCTCCCAAAAGACAAGCACTACCCCTTCTCCCAGGAGCATGGGCACAGGCTGGGCATGCGTGAAGCTGTGAGCAGTTTCCATCCTACATCCTGGCGGGCACCCTCCCACCCCCGGCCCCCCCAGTCTTAAACCAACTGGGATGCCTGCCAGGGGCAGCTGATCCCTAGATTTCCCAGAAAATCAAGCACCAAGTAATCCTTCTTCCCTTTTAACTAAAATTCTCACTGTGCACATTTTACAGATGAGGAAAACAAGATTCTGAAACGTCACTCATGGCCATCCCTCACCTGCCCAGCAAGGGAGGAGGCAGGGAGCTGGCTCTAACTGCTGGTCTTCGACTCCAGGTTAACACACCTAAGTTCTGACACTGGAAAGTCTCATTCCTAGCCTTGAACTTGTGATGGGCAGAATAAAGCCTGGAGACTGAGAAGATGCTACTTTACACCTGGAGGGACTTGGCTGTCGTAATTAGCCCAGGATCCTGAGGAGGAGATTATCCTGAGTACTCAGGTGGCTCCGCGCAATCACAGAGCCACATATGGAGAAGGACAGGCAAGGGGGCTGATGTTGTACGAGGTGACAAGCCAAGCAGTGCAGGTGGCCCCTGGGAGCCAAAGACGACAGACAGGGACGCTCCTGAGGGCAGATGTTAGGCGGTCCTGCCCAGTCTGGACAACTGGCCTCCAGAGCACTAAGCTAATAAATTTTTTTAAGCTAATAAATTTGCGGTCATTCGTTAAAAGCACTAGGAAAAAATACAGCACCATTTCACCAACTTAAAAGGATTCCAAGCCAGGTGTGGTGCAATCCCTAGGTCCTGAGGCAGGAGGACCCAAGTTCAAGGCCAGCCTGGGCAACTTGGTCAGACCTTGTCTGGGAACATAGCTCAATGGCACAGCATCCTGGATTCAATCCCCAGAACTGAAAACAAACA